GCCCTTTTGAATTAATGTTTCTGTGTCCTTTGGGTAAATACCTAGGAGTGGAATTGCTGGATCACATGGAAGATCCATCTTTAGCAGGTTGCTGGCTCCAGTATACTTTTAGGAGCAGGTGGTGGGTGCTGGGTCTGGATATCAAGATGTGCTGGACTGTGACCAGGGAGGCTGTTTCAGAGAGGCACCTGGCGAGGTGCTGGGTGACCCTAGGAGCAGTGAGGGGGCTGCTGGCAGGAACAGAGGATCAGCTCTTGTTGGGAGTGAAAATGAGGCACCTGAAAACTTCCTTCTGTCCCCCAGCTCCGTATTCTGAGCCCAGGAGTTCTTTGGGAACCCAGCTGTGGAGGCCACAATGCTGAGGAGTGGGGAATTTGGCCTCAGTTCCCCTCAGAGAAGAAGTCTGAGGTGGGCAGAACGGAAGCGAGGAGGGTGGCACAGATGGCGGCAACCTCCTAACGAGGTCCTCACAGCCCCCTGAGCTGGGCCAGGGTAAGTGGAACCCTCCTGGGCCCTGGTGCCAGGCAGGCCCATCCATCTTCTGCAGGGATAATTGTTTAGAAAGCCAGTGGGCCCAGCCAGATGTGTGCCTTTTGGGTTCCGTAAGAATGAACGCTCCCTTTCAGGCCATTTATCAAATTTAGCCGTGGCTCCCATATCTTCCCCCTTTTGTTTCAGTCAGGGAAATTTTCTTCTAATGAAGATGAATGCAAAGCAATGAGCATCTTAGCAAACATCAACAGAGTCAGAACACAGGATCCACTCAGGGAAGCGGAAAACCTGGATGATGACTAGGTTTGGAGAAATGTTTTAGAAAATGCTAATGTCCACGCCTTTGAGGGGTTACTCTAATAAACTTGGGGGTACAGACAACTCCCTCTCTGCAGAAATTGCACCTAGCAGTGACATTACCAGCACCCTTCCCTGAGTGCCTAATATGTGCCAGGTACCTCACCCCTTCCTGGTGCGGGAGGTGAAATCATTTTCCCATTTGACAGATGCAGATGAGGAGACTGAGGCTCAGAGAGATAAACAAGTAGCCCTGATGGGGTCCTGGGTGGGATTTGAACACCCAGCTTAAAAGCCCACCTTCATGTGCACTGCCAGAGGAGTTTATTGTTAAAAGGTCAGGCTCTCTTCACAGCTCAAATCTCATCTCCACCACTTACTATCTGGGTGACCTTGAGCTTCTTGTTTAATCTCTCCATGCTTTTGATTTTTGGGGGTGCTAAAATTCCTACCTCCAAGAATTGTTTAAAATTAGTGAGAAAATTGATACAAAAATGACAATGCATGTGCACTGTTATCAGTAATATTTTCTTTTTAGTATCAGGATGTCATTTAACCTCATTTGGTAGTTTAATATCAGGTAGAATTAGGATCATGGCCTGTGGTCCTGGACTTGTCCAGGAACAGCCCAGGTCCATGAAAGGCCTGTCCCCTTCCTGGGGGAGGGACATTGGCACTGAGTGGTGTGCTTGGGGTAGAATGCCCAGATCCTGTTGGTCTCTGAATCTTCAGTTGGTGTCTGAGGCCCATGGAGTTGTTTTTCCTGGATGCATTGCTGTCCGAGGACCTGTGGCCTCCTTGTGTAATGAGGGCTTTGCCCTGTGATAGGGGAAAGGGCTAGGCCTTGGGATAGGCATGGCTTTTGACCTGAGTACTACTTCTATACCAGTTGTGCTAGGGTAGTTATGGATGGTATGTGAGAAGGATTCTAAGGTAATCTAGATTAATGGGAAAGATGGCAGGGATTGATTCGTGATGTCTGCCATGGGTGAGGGAGTTGGGAGAAGCAGTACATGGGTTATATTTGGCCATTCTTGGGCTAGATCTTGCTAGGGTCTTTTCTAGGACTGGCCTCCAAGGTCATTTCCTCCATATTCACGTTCAGCAGATAGGATCTAGAGGCTGAGCTCATTCTCTGCTGGGAGGGGGGAGAATCAGGAAGAGTGTTCTGGAAGAGGGGAATGGGTGTGGCCAGACTTCAAGGCAGGACTGGGAAGGTAGCTCTGGGACCCCCTGGGTGGTGTAGAAGGAGGGTGTTGTGTCAGATAATCTACCAGCCCTGATCCCTAGCTGGTGGCCCACACTGACCCCTGCAGGCAGGAGTGAGCATTGCTGGCAACAGCCCCAGGATATCAAACTTTTAGGACAATGTAATTCCGGGGACTTTGGGGCAGGCAGCACCCTCCAGGCTGGACTACATGTGAAATAAAGAGAGGCTGAAGTGGAGGCCAGCACAAGGAGGCCCATGGGGGTTATCTAGCCCATCACTCTTCATTTTGCAGGTGAAGTTCAGAGAGCTTCCTTCATGGGGCCCATAATGTATTTTATTTTAAATTTGAAAAATATGGGATGGGCTGGGTCAACAGAAAGTTTAGAGCCAAGCAAAACAGTCAAAATCCCACTCTCTCCTCCACTAGTTGCATGACCCTGGCTAAGAAATCACTTCTTGTCTCCAAACCTCAGTTTCCTACTCTGTCATATAGCTCATCAGGAGTTGTTTAAGGCCTGGAGATCCCTGTTTATTGGGACCCCCTGGGTGTCAGTGCTAAGCACTATGAAGGCACCATCATCTCATGGAACCTCCTATGAGGCCATGGGAAGCAGCCCCATTTTACAGACAAGAGGAGCCAAGATCCAGAGGGGTTCAGTTTTTCCAATGGTAGGGAGCTGGGGAGCGGGCACCTGGGCATCCTGACCACACCGCTGGGACCACAGTGTTGCGCCCTGTGGACCACAAACATGTATGAGAATCCCTGGAGAGCTGGTGAATAAATTCACCTCCCCAGAGACTCTGAGCCAAGAGGTCTAGGTGACTATTCAAGTAGGTGACTATTCAACAAGCCCCCTCCCTGCCCCATCTTTGAAGCCCACACAGGGATCCAGAGACCATACTTTCAGAAGCACTAATTGTTGGTGCTGTCTGCAGGCTCCCAGCTGAGAGTTCAGATGCAGAAGGTGATGGATGAAAATAAGTAGAATTCTAATAATGACAGCATAGCTTATATAGCCCACTGTGTACCAGGCACTGTTTCAAGCACATTACTGATTTCCGTTAATTTCATTCTCACCATGACCTCTGAGGTAGTGACTGCTCTCCCCATTCTATTGGTGAGGAATTTAGAGAAAAATGCCAATAACTTGCCCGCAGCCCTACATCAGGTAACAGCTAGTTAGCCAACTTCATTATAATGAGCATTAGTTTTCATCTAGCGCCTGCACCCCTCTGTGCCCACACTCCCCTTGTGTAGGGAGCTGGGTGGTCAGGGAGTCTGTATGCAGAGCAGTAGAGAGGTTTGTGCAGAAGACTTGAGCCTTAGAGACTGGGCAGCTCCCAGGTTTGTTCTGGGGGCTCTGCCCTGAGCCCTAGCCAGACTTCTAGATACAAATCTTGGCTATTCTCTCAGGGAAGGGGCCCAGATGGGTGAGCCCCTCCCCCGAGTAGATCCAATCTCCCTTCCCAGGTCCAGGGCCAAGCAGGACACTCGGGGGACTCCTACCTTCTTCCCTTGGGCTGCTCCCATGGCACGAAGTGGGCGCTGGGCCTGGGTGGGCCTCGGAGGGCCAGGCGAGGGGGTCTTTTCTTCTGGTCCTGATTTCAGGAGGGGCCCAAGGGGTTCCCCAAGCTAAGGGCCCCGATCCTCTCGCAGCTCATTCTCCTTGGGCACAAAGACGGCTTTCACAGCTGCTCCTAAGCCCAGCACTCCTCGGGCAGGCTTAGGGTGACTGATCCTGACAGAGGGGCCAGTGTCCCCAGAAGTCCCACGTGTCCTCCTGTGGTCCCCGCAGTTCCTTTCTTCCTGGACTCCTGCCTCTCTCAGGAAGGGAAACTGAGGTGGCCAGGGTGGGGGAGAGTCAGGCAGTACGCTCACAACACAGTCCGCAGCTCAGCCTGGCCAGTGACCTCTGTCAGCCCAGCGGGCTGGACTTGGCCTTCTCACCAGGCAAACAGGATCCAGACAGTGGAGGCTGCGTGGGGCGGCGGGTGCAGGGCGGGAGTGCACAGGGATGTAAACTTCAGCTGAACAACTATGTTAATAATGGATCTTTGAGGACACGTGGGCCTGGGGCTTTCCCAGAGCAGAGACTCCGAGAGCAGAACACTTCATTCACCCAGGCAGTGTATCGGGTGGGAGGTCTCGAGGGCCTCTGGTCTGGGCTCAGGCCAGGAAACTATCTGGAGGCCGATTCCACGCTGAGGCCAAGTTCTCAGAGTCCTGCCGGCAGCCACCCTCCTCCTCACTGGCCACCCCCTAACTTCTCTGTTGCCAGTATGGAGTCAGACTGAGCCTGGAATCACCTTGGTCTTGGGTCAGACTCTTCTTCACATCTTCACAGTTGTGTGATCTGGGGGACATGCTTTAATTTGGGTCCCACTTTCCTCATCTCTGTGTGTGGATGGTGGGTGCTGAGAGTGAAAGGGGTGGCGTGTGGGTGGCTGAAGCCAGCAGTTAGTTAAAGCATGAATCAAGTCCTGTCATTCCCTGCTTGAAAATCTTCCACTGGACTCGAGGGGATATAACAGTGATCCCCACCAAGGGCTGCGAGGATGGAATGAGGTAATTCACGTAGCTCTGTACACAGCATATTTGGACAACAACGGTTCTCCATAGAAGCTGGGTGCTGCGAATACTGATGAGGCTGTTGATACGGATGATAAATCCACTGCCCGTTGGCGAGTCCAAAACAATCAGTTTTGGGGACAACCAGACACTGCAGTTGCTCAAATAAATGTGGTTAGAGTGGATGAATAAATGATGGAGGATTAAATGAAATAGTGTAAGTATGAAGAGTGCTTAGCACAGCCCTGACTCCGAGCAGATGCTCACAGCATGGCGATTAATGCTGTTACTATTGTTGCTGTATTTCCCCATCATCTAAGACCCAGCTAAGTCCCCCCTCCCCCCCAAAAAAGGCTTTTTCCTGCTGCCCTTCTTTTGGGCTCACCCTTGACTTTCCTATTCTTGACTTCCCCATTTTCCCCTCTGTTCCAGATATGACCGGGATGCAGCTTCCAATTTCCTGCATTCAGGTGAGCACCCATGAAATTATAAAGGGCAAGGATTAATTGGCATTCAGCCAGAAGAGTAAAAATGCCGTAAGTCACCCCTGAAGATCAGACTCCTTTGGCAGCTGTCCCATAATTATCCACCAGCTTGGCTCTTGGTAGGGTGGGAGGAGAGAAAAGGAATTTTACACATTTATTCATTTTCTCCATCTGCTTGGAGTCATGCTGAAATAAGACTTATAAGCTGTACCGAAAGCCTGGTTGACTGGAGGCCTCAACTGGCTGAAGGTATGAATCTTGATTTCTGGTGGGTTATGGGTCCCGAATGCAACATTTGAACCCTATGCTGTGGGCAGAAGGAATGGGGGGGTGGTCCCCCGCCCCCCCCCACCCTGGAGCCTAGTACAGTGCCTGGCACAGAGCAGGTGCTTTAAATACACCTCCCCCCCCCCACCAGTGTGGTCTGGGCACACCTCTTAGAGTCTGCAATATGGGTATGAACCACCACTTGGTGGAAGGAAGCAAGGCATACAAAATATGAGAGGGTTTAGAAAGAGAAATTCCAAATCTCCCAAATCCACTGCATCTCCATCTCTTCCAAAGCAATGATGGCGAAAGTTGAGGATGCTGGCGTGGAGGTCCTGAGCAAGTTTGAAGAATCTTTGGAGGCATTCGGGAGGAGAAAGAGAAGGCTGGGAGGAGGTGGGGCAGTGAAGTACTTTAAATCAAAGTAGTTTTAGGGCCTGTGTTTCTGAGTAGTTCTGATTCATGTTCTGATTCTGATTCATGTAAGGGAAACAAGACAGGCATGCAGTCTTTATTCTGTGGCTCCTCAGCTGTGTGACTTTGAACAAGTCACTTGACCTCTCTGAGTCATTTTCCTCGCGTGTAAAAGGAGGTAACAATGGCTCCACCCCTGGAGCTGTGAGGATGAAATGAGGTAATCCACGTAAAGCTCTGTGCAGAGCATATGTGGACAGTAGCGAGTCACCACAGAAGTTGGGTGCTGCTCTGAAGCTGTTAATAATGCTGATGATAAAATCCACTGCCCCTGGCAAGTTCCAGGTACAGTCCAGTACAACCACCACCCCTTCCTTTCTAGCTTGGGCTGCCACCTACTGGCGAGGACAAGAATGACAGCTGTTGCTGGACCGATTTCACTGTGCCTGAGGGAACAGAGACCAATCCCTGGACAAAGACAAAACTTGCAGGCAAACCTTTAGATCTGAGGCTTACAGCAGGGGAAGGTGAGTGTGAGGGGTCAAAACAGGGGCATAAAGAGCACAAGGGACTACGGTGTTGGTCATGGATGTCATGGTGGTGGGAGAATTATGGGGTCTACACCTGAGGGGGAGAAATCAAATATTGTACAAAAATGAACAATGATGTAAGAAAATAAAAAAAATAAATTTATATATTAAGAAATCAAATCCCTAATCACCACCCCATCCTCATGCCTGGGAGGGAGGGGTGGCATATTGACTAGGAGGGGGTAGAGAATACAGGACTCAAATTCTGAGCATACAAGTAGCTTTCAGAGATCCCTGAAACTTTGTCCATCCTGATGATGAGAAAGTCAGTCCCCATTTTACTCCCTGAATATCCCTGAGACTAGTTCCCATTGATCCATCCTCATGCCAATCCTGGTCCAGGTAACTGCCTTCTCTCTGGCTAATACAGCAGCCTCTGCATTGGCCTCCCTGCCTCCACTCCATTCTCCATAATGCAGCCAGGGCAACCATGGGGCATAATTCACATTCCTGGGATCAAATGAAAGCTGGGATTTTTTTTTTTAAGATTTATTTATTTTTGCATACAGAACTGGGGTACAGGCCAGAGGTGTGTGTGGGGTGGTCAGAGGATTCACCAGAGACAGAATGGGGAATAGAATAGACGGATTGACTGAAACACTGCTGAGGGGAGCAGTGGGCGAGACAGGAGAGGTCTGCAGCGCCATGTGGGTAGCTCCCTGCCCGGGGATTGAACTGGTGCTGCAGTGGGTACGGATAGCTTCATAGGTTGCATCTTAACCCCTTGAGCTATCAGGGAGGCCCCGGAAGCTGGGATTTCATCTGCAAGTGCCCCTTTGTGTGGTTGCCTCCCCTTCCTCATCCTGCTCGCCCCACTTATAGGACGAATATAGGGGAACCAAATAAGACATCAGGGGGAAAAATAATACAAAACACAACAAAACAGACAATTATAAATCAGAGACATCCTGCAGGGGAGGAGGAGGGAGAGGCAGCAAAGGGAGGGAGGGAGGCGCACAGGGGACTGAGGTGATGGTGCATGGGTGCATTGGTGAAGGAAACTCTATGAGGACTACACCTGAGGGGGTGGGGGGAAGCAAATATTGTTTAAAAATGAACAATGATAGAAAAAATAATAAAGTCCTGCCTGTCCCCAGGGCTTGGGAACTCAGAGTCCCATGTCACCAGTGCACACAGCACTTCAGCTTCTGCTGTTGGGCTTGGGGGCTGGGGTAGCTTCATGAGCCTTGCAGTCTCCTTGGCACACTCCAGGAGCCTGTGCACCTATGTTTTCCTGCTCCTGTGACCCCCTTCCAGGACTTTGGCTAGGGCACCCCCCCAGGCGCTTCTCAGAGACCCCAGGCAAGGTCTTAGCACCATCTCTCTCAGGCTGTCCCCCTCCAGCAGGCCAGTGGTGTCAATATCTCTTGGCTGAGGACTGGGAAGCCACAGATAGCAGTCCTTTCCTCTGCAGGGCAGAAGAAGCACCCAGGCATTCCCTGCACCCCTAAAACCAGCAGTCCTCCAGTGACTGATGGGAGTTGGTGTATAAGTGCCCAGCTCACTCCCTTTAAGAGATTTCTGAGGCATGGTCTTCCTGTGGGGTGAAGCTAGGTCCACACATTCATTGCAGGCCCCCTTCCCTGACTTATAGTCCTGCTTCTCTGGATTTTGGAATCATTTCCCAAACATACTGCCTGCACTGGAAACTCATCTCAGGGACTATAGCAGGAGGGTGGGGGTGGAGTGTGCGGGGGGGGTGGGGGGTATGTGGAGGGGAAAGGTACAGAAAACAAGAGGGTATATTCCCCCGTGTCCCCCTGCAGCTTCCTTTTGCTCTGGCCATTCTCACACCACCTGCCTCCTCCAGCTCTCCCTGAAACAGCCAGTGAAGACAGTGCCCTCCGCATCTGTTCCTCTGGCTTTCTCTGTTGCTATGGGTCTAACACAGCAGGAATTCACCGCACCCCCAACACTAGGAGTCCTCCGGTGACTGCTATGTGGGAACAACAGATCCTTTCAGGCCTGAATGAAACCCTATGAGCTTGATCTTCCCAGCTACCTAACAGCTTGCCCAAGGCTGCCACTGGCCTATCTGAACTCATGGTCCAGGCAAACCCAGTCTGAACCAGTCCACCCCAGGGGGAAACGAGCACATGGAGTACTCAAAAAGTTCATGCAAAAATCAGCAAAAATAAAATTTAATTGTGCTCAGGTGTGGGCAGAGCACCAGTCAGCAGTCCCCACGGGAGACACACCTGTTCTTTCCACAGATGACCACCTGCAGGGGGCCTCAGTCCTGGGAGGATTTTGTTTCTTAAGAGGAAAGCACACAGAGTGGGGGCCCTCAGCAATTTCCATTCTGCGGCTCCTCTCCCTTCTCCTCAAGCTCCTGCAGTCCAGGCCTGAAGCCTGGGCTCCGATTCCCAAGTCAGGGGGCATTTCTTCAGGTCCTCACATAGGCAGAGCCACATCCACCCTAAAATACCTTCCGGGGCACACAGCCCTCCAGCTCTAGCATTTCCGGCCAGCCATCGTATTTGTTGAAGTCTGGGTGGTTCTTTAAGTACTAGGGAGAGAGAAGAGAGAGAAACATCAACCATGGTAGAGGGGTAGGGGGCGGGAGTGGGGCAGTCTTGGATTCAGACCTGCGTTTGCATTATGCTTTAAAACCTAAAGTCTTCAGGGCCGCCCGGTGGCACAGCGGTTGAGCGCTGGGTTGCGAAGCTGCCCGCAGCCTCTGCAGTGCCGGTTCGATCCCCGGCTGCTCCCCGGCCACCAGAGGAGGGTCCCACATGGCGCGCAGACCTCTCCTCCCGCCCGCTGCTCCCCTCAGCAGTGTACTTCGGTCCTTCTGCCTGCTCTGCTCCCCGCGCTGGCTCTGGTGAATTCTCTCACCCTCCTGCACTTCTGACTCTACCCAGTGCTGTATAAATAAATAAATAAATCTTTAAAAAAAAAATTCTAACTTAAAAAAAAAAATGGCAAAAATTTACCGTGGAATAATTGTGGCTAACCTACACAAGAAGTTTTAGCAAAAAGTTCTAGATAACTACTTCTCTAAAAATCAGTTTCCATGTGCAGTTTTAATCATGTCGTGCCCTTTGGTTCGTCCCAACCAGCTGATCTTAAGCGTGAGACAAAGATGGAACTGACTTTTCTCTACACTTCCTCTTTGCTGTCCTGGCCCTGAATTTTGGGCTCCAGAAGCAACGCTTGAAGAAAGAGCAGAGCCACCCCTACAGTGCAGCCTCAAACTTTTTCTAGGTAGTCCTGCCCCAGTGCTTCCCGCAGGGAGTCCTGAGCCTCTGGCCCCTGCATCCTGTGCCCTTCGCTCCCAGGGAGTAACAGAATCCTCTCCTTTGTACTTTCTAATTACCTTGATTCATTCTCTTAGAAACATACACATATGAACAGAGGCAACATTTTTCAGACAAGGCAGCCCCCTCACAGCCCCCATGGTGGCCCTCCTGGAATACAGGGGGCCCTTGACTGTCTTCTCTGCCCACAACAGCCCCTGTCCCATCCATGTTTCTCTTGTTTGGTGATAGCATCAGCCCCCGGCCTTGTTCTCCTTCCACCTCCTTCTCCACGCTCAGCCAGGGAGGCAGTTCTCAAACTCTCAGTGCTGGAACTGCTAGTGGAGGCAGGCAGACCTAAGTAGCCCAAGGCCTTCTGGTTGGGCAAGCTGGTTGGCACCTCCCTATGTCTCTGGGTCCTGGTCTGTGATGTTAAATAAGACCCTGCACGGGACCAGCTTGGCTATGCCTGCACAGAGCCAGTGCTTGCCATTGCTAGCCTTTTTTATGATCAGTCTGCTCTTGTTACTCTGCTGCTTAAGCCTCCCCTGACTCCCACTGCCTTCAGGCAGAGTTTGTTCTCTTCAACAGCCCTTTGTGTATGAAGGATCGAGATCCCCATCGTGGTATCTGGGAAGAAAGGAATGATCTCACCAGCGGAGACTGGACTGCTGTGAGCTGGGCAAGGCCTGGCCAGTTTTCCCAGCTTCCAGAATTGCTCTGAGCTGGGGATGCAGGGATGGTTGCCTTGGTGTTGTATATGTGTGTGTGAGTGTGTGTCTGTGAGTGTGTGTGTATGTACGTGTATGTGTGTGTAACAGCATTTTCCTGGGGGCCTTCCTCCTATGAGTGCTTCTCAAATTCCACTTCTGGGGGCCTCTCAGACTCCTCTGCTTCCCCCCCCCCCACACCCCAGGTTGTGACTGTGCACTCCCATATTCTGGACCCTTCCTACTTCTTCCACATACTCAGGGAGGTTCTGCTGTGTGTTGTTCTTGGTGCAAGTCCCTCAACTCCACAGGGAACCTAGAAAGGGCCTTGAGGCTCCCCTGGTCCAAAACCTCCCTGTTACAGGTGGGGAGACCGAGGCCTAGGGGACAAGGGGCTTGGCTAAGGTCATGGCTGGGAGCAGAAGCTAGGCTCCTCGCTTTGGGCTCTCCTGCTCAATCACAGAGCTCTCATCTCTACATTCCTTTCTCTTTCTTCCATCCCTCACTTCATCCTTCTTTCTCCTTTTTGGTACTTATCTATATAGCTATACATGACCCACCTCTTTGAAGAAAGGTCAAGACCACTTACTCCTGGGGGACTGGCCAGCTGGTCCATCCTGACCTCTGGGATGGTCCTCCCCACACTGCCCTGTGTGCCCTTCCCAAGCCACCCCAGTCCACCCCACCTATCCCTAGCACACTACCCACCCCACTTTAGTGGCTTGGGGAGGCCACCAAGAACTTACCAGCTCATAGGGGCTTTTATCTTTGATGTCTCGGGCCCCTACAAAGACCCAGCTGTCCCGGAAGCCTATTTCCTTTGCATATTTACTGCCCAATTTGGAGAAGAGCGCCCTGATTTCATCATTCATTCTGCAGAGGAGGAGAAAGCCATGAGGTGGGGCGAGGGGAGAAGGGTGAGCTTCCCCATACTGGGCTGCCCTCTCCCCCTGCTGTGCAGCAGCTGTGTCCCCTGCAGGAGAAACTGGGCAGGACCACAAGGACTCTCCTCTAAAGACCACTCAGAGGGGCTGAGAGGTGTTGAGAAGGTTTTCCTTCTGCTTCCACTTGTAATATACATTCATTTGGACACTGTGATAGACATTCACAATGAACAATATACGTTCATTCTGGTCACAGGGTAACCAAAAATTACCATCTCACCCCCTTGACATAATCATTGGAAAATGCTAATGTATTTTCTTCATATCTCCCTGCCATGCACTCTAAGAACATTCTTTCTTAACTTTTCCCCACCCCCAAGGGTAGGCATTCTTCTCTGTGCTTAAGTATTCTCAGCCTCATCATTTTCGAGGCTGTCTATCCTGTCATATATATAACAGGCCCTCTGTCACGGCACGTCACAATTTCTGTAGCCATCGGCTCTCAGGTGACAGGGAGTGTTTCCAGCCTCCACTTTTGTGACTGAGCCAGTGATGGCCCCCCCACCCCCACCCCAGCCACAGTGTGCACCACTGTCTGGTTATTTCTTCAGGAGAAGTTGACAGAAGATGGGGCATGTAGGAGAGTGGGAGGGGCCCTGGGGACGTGAATGTTTGCTTGGCGTCACCAAGGGTGGCCTGGCATGAGGGTCCCACTCACTTGGTCCCTGGGTCGTCGTAGGAGGCCACCATCACCAGCACGCCCTCCGGAATTTCTTTAAGGAATTTCACCAGGGAAGCAGGATCTGGGGGAGGAAGGAAAAGCACTCATCATCTAGGGGAAACACAGTCGGTCATTCTCATTCTATTCCTGCTGCCGGGTCTGGAGACCAACCCCGAGTTCCATCAGAGGAGGCGCCCGGGGAAGCTCTGTCGCCCTTGTCCTGGGGAGAGCTCAGTGCAGGAGGGCCCCTCACCCAGGTGGTCTGGGGTGGGTTCTGGACACCTGTGAATTTTTTTTTATAAGATTTATTTATACATGCAAGAGCTGGGGTACCCGCCAGAGATGCGGGGGGTGGGGGGTGGGGGGGAGGTGACAGGATTCACCAGAGACAGAGCAGGGAGCAGAACAGGCAGACAGACCGAAGGCACTGCTGAGGGGAGCAGCGGGCGAGACAGGAGAGCAGGAGAGGTCTGCTGCGCCATGTGGGTTGGTCCCTGGCTGGTAGGGGATCGAACTCGTGCTGCAGAGGCTGCGGATTGCGTCATAGTGCAGTGCTTAACCCCTTGCGCCACCAGGGAGGCCCAACATCTGCAATTCTTATGTGTGTATGTGGGGGTGGGGGTGGGGGTGATGGGGTGGGGGTGAGAACAAAGGGTCTAAGAGCCCTTGGGGGAGAATCATCAGGGTGAGGCCAGCCACCGCCAGGCAGTGACAAGCCTGTGACCAACCTCCACAGCAGCCGCATTCCCAAAATGAGCTTTGCAGACAAAAAGTGGGAGTTCTGAAAGTCCATTAGCAGATTATCAAGATCTCACTTTTGTCTTGGACAGAGAGGACATATTTGGAAAAAATGAAGTGTGTCCTCTGTTAATTATCTTCTCATTTTAAAAAGTCATCATCCTTTTTGGTGTCTTGTGGGAAGGGATGACTTGGTCTTGAGACACTTCTGTTCCTGTTCCCCACAACATGGTTATGTCCTTGTTCTTAATAAGCCGTTATCAAACTTAATTTCATCCTCTGAATTATTTTTTCCTTTATTCATTCTGCCAGATGCTACCCTCCCCCAGCAACTCAACCACATGGTTGGAGTCAGGGAGGAGGGATGGGAAGGGAGAAAACTAAAAATTCCTGGGTCGCTCCACCAGCCAGTCATTGCAGTTTGTCACCTAATCCTCACATCAGTCATAGGACGCGGACGCTTGGCTCTATTCTACTGATGACGAAATTGAGATTCAGGAGGTATCACCTCCCTGGTGGCCTAGGGGTTAAGTCTTACTGCTATCAATGCTATGACCTGAGTTCGATCCCCGGCCAGGGAGTTAACCCACATGGCGTAGCAGACCTCTCCTGTCTCGCCAACTGCTTCCTTCAGCAGCGTACTTTGGTCAATCTGCCTGTTCTGTTTCTTACTCTGTCTCTGGTGAATCCTCTCACCCATCGTACTTCTGACCTACACCCCAGTTCTTCCACACATACACTAAATAAATAAATAAATAAATATTTAATTCTAAAAAAAATGAGGAGTCACCTGCCTCTGGTCACACAGGCTGAAATCTCTGACTCTGGAGACTGGACCTCTTTCTATAACCTGGCCTAGGGCACCCCAGTTCTCTGAAGGATCCTAGGCAGAGAATAAGTGAAGGCCTCTGCCCTCAGCCCATGGCCCATGCTCTCTTCTCTGTCCTTGGCCCCAGCTCCCTGTGCACTAGAAGGTGCTTTGCACACCTGCAAGTGAACACCCCCATGTGCCTGTCCAGGCTGCAGCCATGTACCTTCCCCTCAGCAGCCACCGCCTGGGGCTTCTGCAGCTCTGGGACATACCCGGAGAAGAGGCCTTAGTGCATCTTGGAGCTGGGTTCTGGTTGGCACATCTGGTTTGCAGCCCCCACCAGAAAGGACTGCCATTGGGGGGATCCTTTGGAGCCCAGAATCGCAGTTTCCTGTGGCTGAAGCTGGCACCACAGAGTACCTTCTAAATATTCCCCAGCCCTGGCTTCAGGACAGTAGATTCCCATTGTATCTCATTTGTTTGCAAAGCCAAGTGGGCCTCTGGCCTCTGTGCCTGCTGCCTGTCTCCCTCTTAGGCTCATGTGGTAGGTGGGCTCAGTAGGGGAGGTCTTCCCTGGAGGTGGAGGCAAAGTTGGGGAAGTCAGAAGAAAGAGAGCCCATTGTCTGGCAGCTGCAGGGCCCTGTCCACTCCACTAGCAACCTCCTGGGAGTGGGAGGTGACACCTGAGCCCCCAGGGCCCTGTGATGGTGGGGAAGGGGAGAGAGACAGCACTCTGAAGAGGGGTTGGGCCCAATCCTTGCAGGGCTGCGCTGCCCTCTGCAAAGGGCTGCCCCATGCATTTTTGCTCTATGGTTGAGCAAAAATATGTTGGAGGGAGGTTCAGTTGCCAGCTGGACAGTGGGTGCATACTGGGCCCAGGAGTGATTTATCCTGGTTTGGAAGGTTTGGCAGAGGGGTGGGGCTTGTTGTCAATCTCACCCACAACTACAGCTTTGTTTGGGGGCCTGTGAGTGAAGAAGCTGCTGCTGGGAACTTAGATGAACCAGCTTCCAGCCCAGGTCAGTGACTCATCACTGGGCTATGCTAAGGGCCAGGAGGACAGTGACTTCCTAAAGGGGGGTCATGTGCAGATAGAAGCTCAGAAGCATGTCTATGCAGAGAGAGCAGAAAAGATACTCCATCCATGATCTTGCAATCTGAGTTATCCTTTCTGGGATAAAGCTTGGGAGGCTTTGATTCTCTCCTGAGGCCTGGCAGAGGCCCCTGTGTCTTGAAAGAAGATACCCGTTACCTAGAGGAAACTGGGCCACGTGCTCTTATCCTTGGCAATTTGGTGTACATAGCCTGGATGCCCAATAGCCAGTCCTGGGGGTTTCTTTGCCTGAAAGTCTGCTCTGGCTTCCAGATCTTACTTTGCATCCTGGGGCAGGTCAGACGTGCTAGGAGATGCCAAGGAATTTGGGGCACCTCCCTTGCCCCTACAGGATATCTCTGAGGCATGCATTTGACATGACACTGGCTCTGGAGTTACAACTGCCGCAGTGTTCAATGGCTTGATACCCTGCTGTGCTGGCTGCCTCCTTTCCCGGTCTCCCCAACTCCATAGTGCCAACCCTTGAGAATGAACATTGCACTTGAACCCTTGCCTCAGGGTCTGCATCTTGGAGAGCCCAATTAAGACAGCAGAATTTCAAAGGCAGCAGCCTGATCTTTAAGCCCCACCTTGCCTCTTTCTGGTTGTCTCCGATGGAAACACAAGCCAAACACCCCAGCACCCTCATGGCTCTCCTGCCACAGGAAGTAGCTCAATCCACCCGACTTCAGTGCCAACAGAGATGCCTACCTCCAGCGTACATGTCAAAACAGTCTTGTTTCAGCATCTTCCCCGTGGTTCCTAAGGGATAAGAGAGTGGAACTATTATTTCCTGTGATGTGTCAGTCTGCCTGTCATTTTCCAGAAAGAGGCTACTCTTTAGACTAAGATCTAAAAATAGGATAAGACTAGAATAAAGTCAGGTGCTGCAGAAAGTGTACAGGACTAAAGTAGGTACATGATGATTGGGCTGATCTGGGAGGTACTAGAACATAGTGTAGTGGGCTCTCTGGAAATGCATGGGATTGAACCAGTGTAGGTCTGTGTTCTGCCTGGTCATTTCCTAACCCACAATTTAGCATTCTGGTCTTCACTTTTTAAATTGAAGTAACACTGTATGGTAACATTATACAATTTTCAGGCACTGCATTAAGTTCACCATGGAAAGCCCAAGTCTATCCTTCACCATGCAATTTTGATGTTATTTTTTTGTGTCCATAGAATGGGCTTCAAATTAGATATATTTTAAACAGTAAGCACATGAGATAAATTTTAGCAGCAAAATAAGTCATCAAAATACAATCGTCATCATTATTCCTGCGTTAAATAAGACACCTGCAATTTGAGCCCTCCAATTCTTGAAGCAAAGGGCTTTGCAGTGGGCTCAATGACTTAGTGTCCTGAGTCTGGTAATCTGAATTGTGGCTTGTGGTTTTTACAAGGGGGCCAAGTTCTACAGGGACCAGGTGTCCTGGACAAATGCTGCAGTTCTTACATGGCACCACTAGATGGAGGTGTTGCAGAGGGGATGGAGACTACATTTTCCCCTTCTCTCCCTCCCCCACTGCAGTTTGCAGATTTCTGAAAAGGGTGGGGATTATTAGGACCTGAGCCTTGGTAGTTCTCCTGGGGGCTGCTCACTCTGCAGCTCCTCCAAGTTCTCAGAGTCACTTAAGTCCAACCCAAGGGGCACCTCAGCTCACCTGGGGCACTTGGAAATTTCTAGAATTAGGGGGAGGAACTAAGTTTGAACAATTTCAAGGAACCACTGCTCCCCTGAAAGGGTAAGAAGGTTAATGTTTAGCAATCCTTTTAAAACTGTTGTTTGTTCATTGTACAGGTGAGGCCTGCAGCCGGACAGTGAGCTGTTAGCTTCTCCACAGCTGGCAGGGGTAGGTGCTGTGAACCTGCCTGGAGACATTTGTAGTTAAGGACATACTTCAGCTGAGTGATTAAGATCTGGGTTCTGCCAGATCCAGGATCAAATCTATCTAGATGATTCCATTGGCTGTGTATCCTTGGGCAAGTCGCCTAAACTCCTTGAGCCCCCAAGTCTTACCTGCAACACGGGGATGTTGATCCACTGTAGCAAGGTGAGGAAGTTAAAGGAAACTAGCACGCAGTAAGTGCTCAGTTAGCATTTTATGATATTAGTGGTTTTTTTTTTTTATTTTGCACTTTGTGAAGGGCGGGAGGAAGGCCCTCATCTGAGTCCAAGCAATCAGAGACTATTCAAAGAGGCTTTCTCCAGTAGCGGCCCACTTGAGGGAAGAGCAACTGGCGCGGTTCAGCCTGGGCAGCTGAGGATCCAGCCTGTTCCTGCCTTCCTCACTAGGGTAGGTGGGTGGGGCAGAGGATGAGTGCAGATTGTGGGGGACAGTCAATGCAAACTGGGGCTCCTATAGTCTTCTGGGGTCTGGTAGGCCCAGAATGCTCTTGTGTCCTGTGAGTCTCCAGAAGCTCCATGATCCTTGATATTGACTCAGGCTGAGGCCAACCAAGTCATTATTAACTAGAAAGTAGCATTTTCTCCACTGGAGATGTGAGACCAGGTCAGGCCACCCACAATCAGATGGTGACCGTCCCTACCTCTAGGAAGGAAACTTTCCCCAATACATACTTTAGCTAAAATAAAGTTTTCACAATGAATACACCCCTAGGCTAACATCCCTCTAGGCTGATGCTACAGAATCCACCATATTACTGGCTAGAGGTCACAGGCATGGGAAGATCGAGTTCAAGAGATGAAATGACCCCCTGAAAAAGAAGAAGAAAGAACGGACTCCAGCCCCCTAATTATGTTACGCTGGGTTAAAACTGCTTAAATGGAGCCTCCACCCTTTTCTTGGGAAGCAGCATACAGACCCTGTCCCTTAGGCTAAACTGCATAAGTTTTAATAAATTCTCATTTGCTACCTGCAAGACCAGAATCCCTGTTATTTCTATTTCTTGGAGAGCTCAAGAACCTGGGAACTAGTAACTCTGAGACCACGCTGAGCACCCCACATGCCACTGAAGAGAACTAGGCCTCTTTTCCTGCTTTCCTGGCCTTTCCTGGGCCCCTAGGAAGTTGGCACAGCTGCCCTCTCACCCCACTCCAGGCAAGGCTCCGTCTTTGCTTCAGACCTTGACCTCTCCTCTCCTCTGAACCAGAGGATTCCTTGGCAGAGGGGAGTTGGCTTCTGAAGGAGCAAGGTGCAGGGATTTGCAGTTGGCAAGGCCAGGGTTCCACTTAACCTGTCACTTCCTAAGTGCAGTCATGTGGTTGTGCCACACACAGCTGTTACCATGTCCCTAAGTGTCTGCTGTGCCTTTTTTCTCATTTGCTCTGACCCTTGTCCCAGGAAATGGCTCTTAGAGGCAGAGGGGAGGGTCTTGACTGGGGCCAGACTACCTGTCCTCTGTGGCCCCTTAAGCCCCACTCTCTCCTAAGAAGTGTCCCTGTTTCAGTCATTACCTGCAGTTGGTCTCTTAGTTATTAGGCTGGAGATGAAGAATTAGTGAGACTGTGGGCTTCCTCCCCACTCTCCCCAACCCCTCCACCATCTCTCTGCCTCCAGCCTCCCTACTCTGAGCTGGAAGAAGTTTTCTGAAATGTCATCTGGCCCTCAGGCCCTCCTCAAAGCGTTTTCAAATTCCCTTCTTAGCAGCCCACCCACTGCCTTGTTTCTTAACACTGCCAGCTTCCATATTGCAGCCAGAAAGAACCTGTATGCCCCCCTCCCATACCCCTAAGTGCCTCTCTTTTCTCTTCCCTTCCCTGCTCCCTATATAATGTTGCCCCTGCCTGGAAGGAACCTCCATACTTTTCTCCTGGCCAACCCCAACTATTCTCAGACCTCATCTATTGCCTCCTTCAGGAAGCCTTCCCTGACTGCCTCCACACCCAGCTTCTGTAGCTGTGCTTCCTTCTCTTCCACAGATATTCATCACATTGTGATTGATTGTAACTTCATGGCTACCCAAAGGGGTTGTGAAACCTTCTAGTTCATGGCTGATCCCCAGTACCTTGTCTAGGGCCTGGCCCATAGTAGCTGCTTTTGATATTTATTGAATGAATGAATGAAGGTATGCACTTGACTTGTGATGTTACATTGCCATTGGTTGACCCTGTGCATTGGTGTGAGCTAGGGTGGTTTGAGGATGGGGTCATGTTTCACAGAAGGAGCATCTCCTCTTGAGGTAGATGCAAAGGGCAGGAGCCTGGCAGAACAGCATCAGATCCTTTAGGCCAACCAGGCATCCCTCCTGAGCACTACGGGATTGATGCCTGCATGTGGCAGGAGCTGAGGCAATGTTGGTTGAATAAAGGAGCAATGACCTCCCTCAGCACCTCCCTTTTCCAGTGCGGAAACATGTTGGGGCTGTCTGGGTGGGGGCAGTGAATCGCTAACTCACCATTCAGCAGGGCGATGTTCAGGCCTCTGCCCACATTATCTTTTACAGGACTCATGATCCTGAAGAAGAAAGACAAAACATAACCGTTGGTCCTGCTTTTGTGACTCTGGAGCTCCACATGGGCCTAGCCGGCACCGTGCAAAAGCATCAGGAAACACACGGAATAATGCGGGCCACCTGCTGTCTCCTGGCAATGAGCCGTGGCTGGGATCTCTGAGGATTCTCTCATGGCATGTTTGGACCAGAACAGTCTGCTCAGAGAAGAGGGAAGATGCCCACTTGGGGTTCTGAGGTGTTGGCAGGCAGGGTCACATGGAAGGCAGAACACAGAAGGTTGCTGCCATCCTCTGACCTCTGGGATGCCCAGAGGGACCCCAGTTGTGTTCCTGCCTGCCAGTGTTCATGCCCATGTTTTGTGGTATCCTGGGGAAAATGCTCCTTCTCCATCTGGGGCGGGGGGGAGGAGGGGGTGGGAATGTTCTCAGCACAGACCTCTCTGAGGGTGCCTCAGGGCAGGCCTGCCCCTGCAGCCTCTGCCTTTGCAGAGGCTGATCTACAGAACTGAGGAATCCAGAGGGGAGATGGACTAAGGTGGTGGGGCACAGGCACTTTGGCGGTGGGTACTCTACAGCAATAATACTTTAAGCGGGGGGTCCTATACCCCCCCAAATACAAACTACAATGTAAACCAACACTAGCTCAATGAATAAAGAATGCAAGAAATAAATAGGAGTTCCTCGGTGCTTACAGTTCATCTTCGAAGCACAAGGTGGGACCCACAACGCTGGCGGCCCCACTGTTCATTTTAAATGCAAAGAAGTTGGCTGCACAGGATTTTAAGAGGCCGCACTTATTCTTCACAAACCCTGGAGGAGAAACAGATCAACCTTGGTGACAGCAGCTATGAAGGGGCCCCGGGGAGGATGGGACAGTGGGACCCCAGCTCAGCCGCCTCCCCACCCCTCCAAGAGCCTTTGCTGACCACTTCAGGCTGGAGGGTTGGCCACCTTCTGTTCTCCCTCAGTGCCTCCAGCAAGCTCAGAACAGACACAGGACACTGACTGTGGTCTGATCACCCCAGAGTTATTTTTGGGCTTCTCAGCACAGCTCCAGTCCTAGCACAGCCCCTGGGTAATTCAACACAGGCCTCCAGTATGTCTATGTGGAGCTTGAGTGGGGCTAAAAAGCAGTAAGTGTCAGTAAGGGATTCTCTTGAGAACCTTTCTCTAGGGCCACGGCAGTTTTTGAGCTCGCAGGGACCCTTGTAAAAAGCCTACTGGGGGCCTGAACATGGTGGGTGGGAGCACCCCTCAACTGCTGGGTTCCCTTGGGCAAGTTCTCAAGCCCCTTCCATCTCAGCTTCCTCATCTGAAATGGAGTAACTAATGCCTTCCCCAGTGGGTTCTTGTGAGGAATAAATGAACAGAGGTTAATGGTCAGTACATACTGGCTTTTTTTCATTCATTCATTCATTCATTCATTCCATCAGTCATTCAATTCCTGGATACCTACTATGGGCTAGATCCTGGGATACAACATGAATCAGGCTGAAGTTACCAGCCCCCCGCAACTCAGCGCCTAGCATGGTACTTGGAACCCACCGAGGACTCCTTTCAAGGCTCTTCTGACTCCTGTGACTGTTATTAAAAGCCATGTCCCCTTCACAAGGCCCTCGCAGGGCAAACCCTGGAGGCCCGGGAATGGCAGCACATGCTGATAGAACCCCCAAACACAGCTGCTGAGCTGCTCAGCCCTCAGCGGGCTCTTTGCCAGTTGGGACCATCACCTGTGCTTTCTGCCTGGCAGGTTCTAATTTATATTAATGTGTGTTTTTTAATATCACCTGACAGTTCAGAAGTACCATTAGGGAAGATTGGCAAACATGGAATTAGAGAAAGTTCACCTGCAAAGTGGTGATGGGGCAGCTTCTCTCCCCCCAGCCCCTGTGCCAGGCGTCTTGCTGAGCTACGCTGGCACGTGCTTGGAACAAATCTACAGTCTTCCTAATAGAAGCCACGTACCTGAGGGGGTTATTGTGCTAGGCACAGAGGCAAGCACTTTATATGTATGTATTATCCTGATAAATCATCCCAGCAACTCCAGTGTCTGGCATGTAGTAGGCACTCAATAAATATTTGGGCAGAGCTGGGAGGGACGATGCAATCGGGGCCATGAGGGTCTCAGGCCCCTTGCTAGCCTACAGGGAGCCTCCATGTGAATCAGGAGACAGCACCCCTCTGGGGGGGACACGTGCCACTGGTACAAGGCTTGCCAAGCTCACGGCACCTACGAGTAGGTGAAGGTGCCCCTTCCTAGGAGTGAATGCTGCCCTCACCAGGGCACCCTGATGGACTTTGCCCTCATCTGAGTGGGTAGCCCTGGTGACCTGAGCAGAAATGACTGTCCTGTGCCCTCCACCCCCAGCATGCCAATGCTGAGCACATCCCCCAATGGGTGGAAGCCGAGCTCAGACCAGGACATTATCACCAGGGCAAGGGCCACAGGGGAGGCACTCCCTGGGGGCTGCTCAGAAGGGAGCGGTGTCCAAGCTTGGGGCTCCAGAGGGAGAGTGCTGGGCTGGGGATGTGGACCTAACTCACTTCCCCAAACTCTGGAAGGGACCTCTCAACCCAGGGCTGGCTGTGAAGTGGCGCTGGCCCGGGGGCCTCATCTACGAGCCTTGGGCTTCACCGCAGGCCACCTGCCCCTTCGTGGCAAAGTCAGTTTTTCGTGAAAGCAGAGGTTTCCACCTATGCCGAGGGTTGTTCTAGGCCTCAGGCCACGCTTAGAGTTTACCCAGCACCTAAACAACTGCAGCTAAGTCTGATAAACCTGGTGTCAGCAGGTTGGCTTAAGCAGGCTTTTCTGGAATTGATTATCTGACCATCAAGCCTTCACAGTCTTGGCGCTGGAAGGAGACGATGCCCGTGGGATCAAGTCGGTGGGAGGCAAGGGATTTTGTCTCTGGGCTCAGCTTGGGAGGACTGTCCCCATGAGCTGCCCAACTCCTCTGGGAATCCTAAGTGATGCTGGTTAGGGCATGGAGCTGAGCACTGGATGGGGTAAAATCAGGAGACTTGGGTTACTTTTCCAGCAATATGCTCTGTGACTCGCCAGAAATCTCCCCCTTTAGGCAACAGTCCTCTGCCCACCTATGCAGGTGCTTCTTTTCACCAACTCTCTCCCTCTGCAGGGCAGCAGCCTTCCTGCCTGCCCGTGACCTGTACCATGCCGGGACTTCTCCTCACTGACCTCCCTCAGCGGAGGCCGCTCTCAAGGCTGCCCACCTGCAATGCTGCAGGCCTCTCTTTGCAAACCTGTCCCTTTCCAGGCAGCTCTTCCTGCCCGCTTGTGTCTATGCAAGTGTCTTTTACTCTCCGATCCCTTTCTCTAATAAACCTGCTCTTAAAATATATATAAAAAAGAAATCTCCCCCTTTAGCTATGCCAACTTTAATGTCAATGGATCTATTAGAAGCTTCAATAAGGCTCCTGAGGCTTGCTGTGGGCTAGGAGGGACGGAGTGCTGGGAGGGATTGGTGATGTCTGCCGCGGGAGTGGGCAGGGTGGGAGGCAGCACCATTCTTGGATTTGCCATCCTCCAGCAGCTAATGTCTGAGTGTTCAGTACCAAGATGTGGTGACAATCTATGCCCAGATTATGACTCCGTGGGGCTTCAAAGAGATGGGGTTGAGAATGTTGGGGGAAAGATTTGTGTGGACTCTTACAGTTGTTATGCTGTAATCCCTCAGCATATTGGGACTCCCGTGCCCTTCTCCTGGAACTGCATCCCTCTTCAGATACTACCAGGTTGGGGTATGTGGGGGGAGACCCGGAGGTGTTGCCTCTGGTAGAGGGGTATTGAGAGAGTGGGTTCTGATCTAGATGGGAGGTCTTGCTCCATCACTCACAGCCAGCAGATGTTCGTCAAGAGATTTCACCCTTTCAGCCTCAGTTTACTAATCTATAAAATGACATAATTACAGCACCTATATAGGTTTGTGGTGTGGACTCATGAGATGCTAGTGAAGTTCTAAATACAGCGTCTGATGCATAGTAGGCACCAGCCATTGTTACTATTATTGTCTTTTCTACCTTCTCCGCACCTCGGCGCATGGCACTTCCTGAAGCCCTGATCACACATCTCAGTGTGGGACATGCTTGTCCTCTAGCACTCTCTTCACTCCTCACCTCCTGGACTCTCCCATCAAAGTCTTCCCTGGAGCCCTAGGCACTCTTGCCTCTGCAAGCACAGCCACCCCCTCCTCTGCAAGCACAGCTGAAAAGCCACCTCCTCCCTGATATTTTCTGTGGCCCCATTCCTCAGGAAAGGGGTGTCCCTTTTGGAATTCAGAACACTTTCCCCACCTTTTTTGGCACACTTGGCTCTTTTACCCCAATGGATAATCGACAGAACCTTCTGTTTGTCTCTGGAGGCCCTGCGAAGCCTGACATGGAACTATGAACCAGGCCTGGTGGTGGTGGTGGGGTTCACTGCAGTGATGATAATAAACATAGGCCCCATTCTTGGCCTCCAAGTTGGGGGAGGGGAGACGGGAGGAAGCACTACAGGGGAGGCAAGGTGGGGTGTGGTCCAGCCTGCAGGGCAGGTGACCTAGGAAGGAGCAGTCAAGCAGTTCCTATGCCTCTGAATGGCTGAGAGAAGGTACCCAGCCACGGTGTTCAGGGACCTCAAAAGGCACCATAGGGCCTTAGGAGGAGAGAGCTGGGCACACTTGGGAAACCGAGATTTTTTGGGACTATAAGATCCGGAGTAGAGACCCGGAGACATCTCAAGCTAAGGCAGTGGGAGCTGAGTAGATACTCACGCTTCTCCTTGGTGACCAAATCTGTTGGAGAGAAGACAGAATCTTGTTAGTCAGAGAGAGATTTGCCCCCGGCCCACTCCCTACCCCTTGCAGGTCGAAGATTGGGACTGGGGTGTGTGAAGAGGGACCTTAGAGTGGCTTTGGCCTGCTCAAGTAGAGGCCCCCTCTAGTTCATGTTGAAATGTTCACGCTCAGTCAGTTCATGCGGAAATGCTTTAAGATTGCTATCTCCCATGAGTCTGCTCACACTGTGGCTGCCACCATCCTCCCCGCCCCTGGCTCTATTGTAGGACCCACTGCAGCTTGGGGCTGCCTCAGGTGTGTGAGCTTTAACCTCCCAGCCCTCAGTTCCTTTACCACACCTTGGGGACTGTCATCCACCCTCACAGGGAGCAGGGAAGATGCAGTGACCTAGCCTAGCACCCAGCACCCTGGCCCTGCTGTCATTTCTCAGCCCAGTCAGGGGGCCTCTTCTGACTTCCTGCAGCACTGCCTGCCTGCCTGGGGCTTCATGGCCACAGTCACTTCCAGACACCTTGGCTATGCAGTGTCCTGGCTGTTTCTACATTCTAGACCATGTCTCCCACCACACAGGTGGTGAGTCCTACAGGACATGGCCCCCAGTAGACAGAGAGATGCTGGGGAGGGTGTTCTCTTCTTTGGGCTAACCCCCAAACACATTCTACTCAATTTGGGGGGCTATCTCTCCTGGAGTGCCCCTACCCTTGCCTCCACGCACAGCCCCACCAGGGAAGTTCCAGGAGGGGCCAGTCACATGCTATATTCCTCTGTATCTGGCCTGGGGGAGAGAAGGAGCCTCTTTCAGCTAAGCTGGAAGGTGAGCATCTGGACAGCTGGGGCCATCACACCTGCCTCGCAGAGAAAGCTGCCCATGGAATGAGGTGAGGTAGCAACGAGCAGAGTCCAGGGACACAGGGACAGATTCTGGGGACTTTATGGAGGACTCTAAATGCAGCCAAACCTATGACCTGCTGCCTGTGGAAGTCCCTGTTACATGAGTCATGACATGCCATCTTTTTTTTTTTTTCTTTCTTTTAATATAAGTGAGAGTTAGCCCCAGCTGAAACACCCTGCTTAATTTGCCAGGTGAATGGAAGATTCACCATTTCCTGATTTCTGTGCCACGGACCCTTTTGGTGGTTTGAAAAACACCCTTAGAAAAAGACAAAATACAGATCTAAGCCACACAGCAGTGGGGGGAAGAGAGGGGGCGGATTAAAACAAGGGAAGGCACAAGGGACTCTGGAGATGGATCACGGGTGATCTGGTGGTGGGAGAACCATGGGGGCTACACCTGAGGGGAGAAATCAAATACTGTACAAAAATGAACAACAATGTAAGAAAACAAATAATTAAATGCAATAAAAAAATTAAAATAAACATACAAAAAACCACCCTTGGAGTAAATTAACTTGCACGTCTCCAAGACATTTGACACTAGCTTATTTAACAGATGGCAAGTTACAAAATACATAAAGTAAAATGGATTAGATTAGAAAGGAAATTATGTATCAATATAATAACAAAAGCAAAAAATGAATTTGTGTTATAGTAAAAGCTCTTCTTATATATTAATGCATTCAATAATTAGGGGTGTGTGCAACTTCTGGGGTAAATGAACGAACCCCCTTGGCTCCTGGATGCTGCTCTTTTTTTTTTTTAAAGATTTATTTATTATGCATACAAGAGCTGGGGTGTAGGCCAGAGAGGTGGGGTTGGGCGGGGGGGGTGGGGCATGAGGTGAGAGGACCCACTAGAGACAGAGCAGGGAACAGAACAGGCAGACTGACTGAAGTATACTGCTGAGGGGAGCAGCGGGCAAGTCAGGAGAGGTCTGCTGCGCCATGTGGGTTAGTTCCCTGGCCAGGGATAGAACTCGTGCTGCAGTAGCTGCCCCGGTGCCTTCATAATGCTGAGACTTAACCCCTTGCATCACTAGGGAGGCCCCTCGCTGCTCATTTTTGATGGCTTCTCTCCCACGGCTACATTTCCTGCTGCTCCAAGCCTTTCTCCAATCTGGGTCACCTTTGGTTTTGTGCATTCTATGAGTAAGTCTATTTGTTTCTCTGACTCAGACCATAAGCAGGGGGCCACCTGTTCCTCTTCTGGGGGGTCTCTGGGATCAATCAGAGAGGTTGCTTAGTGATTGTTAGTCGGAGGTGTTGAGTTCTGAGAGGGAATTGTCTTTGGCATTCTTCTTTCGACACTGTCTCCTCTCCCACGTTGGGCTGGGGCTCGTTCTGAGGACATCCCTGAGCACATGCAGGCTCTGAGCCTCCTAGACTGACCTGGGTCCATTTTCTCCAAGGCTATCAGCACGGTCCAATCAATCTCTGACCTGTAAGAGCAGTGCCCTAGGGCTGGGACATCGTGGCCACCACATCTATACACATCATCCTGACATGGTATAGCCAGGTTGGCAAGAAGAGGATGAGGTACGGAGTCTCTGGCACTCCACTGTGTGGGGCAGTTTGTGTTAAAGATGGGGTGGCTGGCTACTCCCTGCTTTGGAGAACTGTGAGCTAGCCTGGGTCACTATATGTCATGCTTGGCCACGACAGTGGAAGTGGTTCTTGGTTTTCAAGGAGGGCAAATCTAGCCCTTTGCACTCTGCTGTCCCCTCTCAGGGGACATTGGTAGCCAATGTCCAGAATGGTTCGGAGTGCAAAGGGTTAGAGGTAGAAATCCTATCTCTTTCTTTCCTTACTTTGAAGGATTTGGGTCTGGGAGATCTGAGTTCCCATTATTGTTCTAATATCTGCAAGAGAAATTTAGGCACTTTAAAAAATATCCCTGTGCTCTTATATTCTCAGATCATGCACAGAACGACACCATTAGATCATGCACGAGTCCATTCCACAACCATATCTTGGATCATCCCATGGGGATTTTATATAGATTAAGTCTTTGTGTGTAAAGCAGCCAGTATACATGACCCCTTCCCATCCATCCATCCATCCATCCATCCACCCATCCATCCATCCATCCTCCATTTTTCTTTCATCAAATATTTACTAAGGATCTATTTTGCACCAAGTGCTGGAAAGATGGGTATACACAAGACAAACTCCTTGCCTTCAGAAAGCTCCCATTCGAAGGGATAGCGCCAACGCCAAATAAACAGCATAACGAAGGCGACTGTGAGGTTCTGAAGGCACTGGCTGGCATGAGGGAGGCTGAAGTAGGGGGAGGGGCATGGCTGGATCTGGGCCTGGTTAGGGAAGGCCTCTCTGAGGGGGTAACATCTGAACAGAGACCTGAAGGTGGAGAAGAGTTGGGAGATTTGCGTGAAGAGGGTTCCAGGCAGAAGAAACAGCAAGAGCTAAGGGAAGCCATTCAATGCATAGAAAGTTCTCTTTCCCTCTATCTTCCTTCCTTCCTTCCTGGAGTCACATTTCCAAAATTGTCCTTGTTGTAGGCACATGTTTTGGCCAGGGGCTTGGAACACTTCTCTCTTCCCCATGGGCTACATTCTTCCCGACAGCCTGAGGGTTTCCTCTTTCAATTTCCCTTCCCATCCCCAACGGCAGGGGTCCCAAAGGCAGGCAGATGGGGATCCCTGCTGTGTCTGGATGTCTCCTGGGGGAATAAATAAATTCTTAACCCCTATCCCCGGTCCACAGTCCCTGGCCCCCGCAGTCAGCCCCACTCACTTATCCAGCGGTGAGAGTGGAGGGTTTTCATGTTGAAGCTGGTGTAGCTGCTAATAAAGACGCACGTGATGACCAGGACAAAGACGAGGGCCACGAAGCGAAGAAGCACTGCAGAGCAAGGAGGCAGCGATGAGAGCACATTGGCAGGTCCTGTAGCAAGACTGACTGCCCATGGGTCCTTACCAAATCCCCCAGTTGGACCATGTCGTGAGACCTGGTGTGGTAGGCCCAGCCCACACCCACCTCAGAGACCAGTTCTTGGGGCCACTTCGTGAGACCATGTGTGAATCCACAGGATGATCAAGTGGTGAGATCATGGGGCAAAATTACTTGGGAATATTTCCCACAGTGGGGGCACCAAAAAAGAAAGTTAGAAATGCATGTTCCTGGGCTCTCCTTAGCTCACCAGAGAGAGAATTTCTAGGGTGATGACTGAACATCAGCACTTGCATCCAGCACCCTGACGTGAGGTCTGAGCATGGTGGCAGGAGTGCAGGAGGCAGGGTCTGTGGCCGATGACCTTGGGAGGGGAGCTCTAGCACAGGTGTGGGAGCCAACTCCAAGTGTGGCTTGGGCAGGGCTTGGCCTCTATGACCTGGAGTCCCTTAATCACAGAGAAGACATGGTAATGTCCTTGCCACTGAAGTCAAGACATTCTGGGAGGGATGGGTAGTTGTCACCAGGAGGAAGCCTCCAGGGTGGCTTGGGGGAGTTGGGCTGGTCCCTCTCATTTTCCATTATCTTCTTCTGAAAGTCACCACAAGTAATCACACAATGCTGTCTGTGGAATACACATTGGCCTTGCTGATTCGTCCTTATGACCTGACTCCCCATACATCACTGGGGAGGAAACCACACACAGAAAGGGCTATCTAGAGCTTCCTGTCCCACTTGCTCTCCTCACTCTTCCAAGAGGACCAGAGGTGGTTACCATTTCACCTCCCAGTATTCCAGGACTCTGGTAATGCCCCCAACCCCCTCTGCCTTCAGGATCAATTTCAAGTTCCCCTCCCTCTCCTCTGATGGCCCCCTTCTCAGCTTCATCCTGCTCCTCAGCCCTGAGTTCAGTTGTGAGCTTGTGCTGGCCTCTGGCTACTTGGGTCCAGGGATATGGCCCCTGGGTCCTGTGGGGTGGGGCTCAGGTATGGGGTTCATCATCTTCTAGAGCACAGTGTAGCTCAGGGCACCCAGTATTCCTCTTGGGTATCAGCTCACATTTATATAGCACTCATTTTGTGCCAGGCATTGTGTGGACAGCTCTTACATATATTATTTCAGTTTGGTTCACAATAAACCTATGTGTTGGATGCTACTGATTTTTCAGGTGAGGAAATGGGTTTGGAGAGGTCACTTAGCTAGTAATGACAGAGGTAGGATTAGAACCCTGCAAAGTAGGCAGTCTTCAAATCTCATGCTCTTAATTCCCTCACAATTGTTTGGGGATATAAATGAATCTGTCCACTTCCTATTCAGAGCCTCCTTTTCCCTATCTGTACAAAGAGGGTACAGCACGAGGGTATGGAACAGAAGGAAAGGCCTCTCCTCTTACCCAACTCCTGTGCTATGAAGAATCTAACAGAACCCTCCTTGTGGGTTCTGTTTTTATTTAGTTTATTTTATTTAGTTCCTAATTTCCACTGAGGGTCAGATATTTCCCAGATATGGTCAATCCCCATGGTGCCAGCCAGGTGGGGCCATTGTGCCAAAGGTTCTCCAGCCCCTCAGGCTACAGGCAGAAAGTCTCCTCTTTCACTGTTGCAGGCCTCCCCAATTGGAATTCTAGCCTGATCATTTGAGAACAGATACGGCCAAATGACCTCAGAGTTCAAGCCAAATTCAGACCCCAACTCCGAGCCTAAGGATTCTCAGAACTGGTCCTACCTGGCACTCTCATCCTGGCCAGATAAAGAGCAGCTTCAGGTCAGTGTTAGCCTGCGGAGAGAATAAAAATGAATTGGGTATCAGTATCTGAAGTATGGCTATGAAAAAGATTTAAGGAACAGGTACTATAAGAACAGTGAGGAGCAAATTTCAAGGCAGTGGACGGTACTCCTGGCCAACTCTGCGAAAGAAGGTGGAGCTTTCTAGATTTCACCCACTGATGTCAACTCAATGGTAGAAGGTCGAGCTTTTCAAACCCCACCCCTTGGGCAGGGGCTGATGGGAAAAAGTGTGGGGTTGGGGCTTTGGGCAGTAAAGCCCATGAGACTTGGCAATTTGACTGAAAGGACTTCTAATAGCTAAGCTGCTGGCACTTTTGGCACAATACCTCTGGCTTTTGACAGCTAAATTGCTGGTTAGGAGGGGTGTGGATAAGTTGCCAGTTTGCCATGTACAGCTTTGGCTAGAACTTCAATCTCTGCTCAGTGGATTCTTTCTGGGGTATGATAGCATATGGATAGCCTATAAATTCATTCTCTCTCTCTCTCTCTCTCTCTCTCTCTTTCTCTCTCTCTCTCATCAGTCCCTTTCTTTGCTCCCTGTATAATTAAATCCTGTTATGGGTGTTTCAGCCTATGTGCCTGCTTTTTGGCTCATGTCCTGCATTTACAAGCATTAAGGTGAGGCTGCACCTACTGGGGTCAACCCAGGTACCCACAGGTTTGCTCCATTTTAGTACCTCTGAGGAGAACACAGTCCTTTTAGTTTGGTTCCTCACCATCTGCCATATGAAATAAGAGTCCAGCATATCTTTAGTTATATTCATATATTCAGTTCAGCATATCTTTTATTTAAGTGTATCTATTAGAAACCAGATGACGGCATAGTCTGCCAGTCATTGTCTCTTAGAGGACGGATCTCGTCACTCACCCATCCAGCCTTTGGTTCATCCAGCCATACTTCCACCCTTTCTTCCCTCCCTCCCTCCTTCCATTTCTCCAGCCAGCCAAGGGACAGCGTGCTAGCTAGTCCCAGGGGGACCAACAGGCAGCAGAAACTCAAGTGATTTTTGCTGCTGTGTAAATCCTCACAATCCCCCCACCCCCAATGTAGGAATGGGTAAGCTGAGATGCACCATGGTTAAGTCCTGGTTTATTCAGCTTTCAATGGTCAGAGTCAGAAATTGGATGCAGGTCTCCGGCTGCCCAGTGCCCAGCGTCCCCCTGCCAGTGCTTTTTATCTCGAAAGTAGAGAAAAAAAACTGGTCTCCTGCCTTCTTGAGTCCTGAGCAGGAACAGGGTCATCCTCAGCCCCATCTCTCCTCTGTGCGACCTCCCAGGTGCTGGGCAGTCACCAGTGATATGGCAGCTCTGAAACAGCCAGCAGGTCTCTGGAGACTTAGGGATGGCTAGGGCAGGACTTTGGGTAATTTCCAGGTCTTGGACACTCCAAGACCCTCCAGAGGGTCTCTAACTGCAAAAACTTGCTCTCAACCTCCCTTCTTGCCCCCTCCCCACCCCAGAATCTTCTTTACCCTAAGAATCCATCTCAACAGACATGGTCTCCAAAGCCCAACTGCCAGGACCCAGATGGGAGACAGGAGGCTGACCTTAGCACTAGGCACAGGTGGTTGGGCCGGGTCAGTCCTTGATATTTAAAGCAACGACTCAGCTGCAAACCTTCATCTTTTTTTGAGAATTCAAAAAATCCTCTTACCTGTCCTGACCCTTCCCCTCTAGGACCTTTGGGATGATAAGGCTGAGCTATCACTCAACCCCAATCCCTCAGATTTTGTAGAACTTTAACTTCCTGAAAATTTAAATTGCCAACCTGTCTTTCTTCCATATACACGCTATGTCATGCTTTCCAGTGTTGCCGGGTAGGCACTATATTCCAGGTGCTCAGGCCTCTAGGGGTGACATTCTGTGGGCTTCCCCATGTGTGGAAGATCCAGGAGACTGGTGGCTAGATTGAAGGATACAAATGGAGCTCATACAAATGGAGCTGGACCAACAGGCAGACACGGATATTTGTAGAAAGAGCGTGAACAGAAAGACAGGACAAGGAGCAGGGGAGGGGTACGGCAGTGACTCAGAAAGAGACACACATGAAGAACAAGACAGAAGGGGGTGCAGGGGGGAGAGAAGATAGGTCAGAGGTAGAGGCTGGGGCACATACCTAATCTCTCGCTGTCATGCCCAATTTAAACAGAGATCCTGGCTGCCGGGAGAGGCTGTGAGGAAGGACAGGGTGGCGGGGGGCTCTCAACTTGGTGGCCCTTGTGGTTGAGTTGCCACCCTGGAGACCCGTGTGGGTGCTTTACAGCTGGAGTTCAGGACTGACTGACTTGCTAGGAGGGGGGTGAGGAGGAAGAACAGCACCTGAAACAGCTAGGAGGGTGGGGCAAGAATTTCCTCTGCAGCTGCCAGGTAAAATGAAACAGTTTCTTCCTTGATCCTGTTGGGGGATTTGTACAACCTGTTACTCAGGTTATGGGGCAACAGGAATAAAATCACAGGAACTAAAAGCTCTATTGCTCTGTATGCTGGTTCTGTTAGGGGGAAAGGATGTCCTGAGCTAATCCCATGCAGGCTTTGTGGACCCCACCCCCACCCCAGACCAAAGCCATCAGGACACTGGGAAAGACAAATCCCATCACCACCAAGGGAGGGTGGCTGGGACCTGAGGGTGGAGTTGGGCAGCCAGGTTGGGTATAAAAACCAAACACGTGGGCCTTGGGGGGGCTCGCTATCGCTCCCCTCCTGGCTTCACGGCTCCTGGCTGGCGGCCAGCTCTCAGAGTGCCATTTGGGATTCCTGATCGGCGGATCGGGTAGGACGCATTTAAAACTTTGTCTCCCACTTTTCTCCCTGAGTTGTACATTTCCTCATTTCCCCTTCCCTTATAAATAAACCTTTTATTAACCTTTCGCGTGTGCCTGCAGTAGAGCATTGATAAGTCCTTTTAAGTGTGCAGGTGAGGACCCCCAGTCAGGCACCCCGTTTTGTATCGGGGTTGCTCTACAACAGTTCTACCACCTGGAACACAGACACGGTGGCCCCAGGGTAGCATATATTCCTAAGGCAGGCCGGGTGGGAGGGTGGAAATGCCGGTGGGGGCTTGAGGGATGGGAAGGCAGGAATTGCTGAGCACCTGCCGACTCTCTGACCTGACTCCCTGACCTGGGAGTCCATGGTCACACCCTCAACAGGAACCTCTCCTTTTGTCCTTCCCCACGCCCCTTCTGACTTCTGGCTGTCAAGGGCATAAACCTTGAGGGTGCTCTCCACCCCCAACCTGCCTCACACAGGCTTTATCTCCTGCAGGCCTAGTGCAATGAATGCTGGGCACAAAGGGAGAACTTGAGTTTCTGGGTACAGAATGAACTGGATTCTTGCATATCCTAAGTTAGGATGATAAATCACCAGCTAGAGAGGGAAGCTGAGGATCAGAGAAGACAAATGACTTGTCTAAGGCTACACAGTCAATTGCAGATTTCATTCCTGAAGCCCTCTCTGAGCACCATAGGAAGGGAGGTTTTGTGCTAGGCATGGGGGGTGTGGCTCCAAGTAAGACATGCTGTGAGGCTCCTTGGGCCTTTGCATTGCTAGTCCCTCTGTCTGAGCAACATTGCCCTGCCTCTCCGCCTGGAAAGCCTACTCATCTTTCAGGTCTGTGACCTCAGAGGAAGTGACTTCCTCTGGGAAGGCTTTCCTGGCCCACCCGTGGTCCTGGATGGGGGAAGATCAGAGAACCCCAGCTTGTCAAAAGGGGCTGGCCTGTCAGAGCACTAGGCTTCCTTATGCTTGCTTCAGGAGGCGTGTATGGCCTCAACAGGACCAGTCAGGGCTTTTCCCGAGATAGATCTATGGAAACCGAGCTCTTTTCTCCCTTATAACGCTAAGTTTGCCGTCTGGAGCTGCTGAAGTCCCTTTCTCAGCAACTGCAACCTGTCACCTCCCGTTGCAGACAAGTCCCACCAGAAGATGCAGACACAAAGGCTGAACTGCAGGGGCAGTGCGGGTGGCCTTGGCCTGGAAAGATCAGGCAATGACAAGCCTGGGATGTTAGGAAAGAGGATAGACTTTGGGACCAGGCAGACCTGGGCTGCACTGACTAGTGTGTTTTGAGACACACCTCTCTGGATCTCTGCTTCCTCTTTTGGGTGTGTACGGAAATAATATAGGGAGTGACAGTTCCGAGGAACACAGACTCAGGGAGAGAAGACTGAGGTAAAGACAAACAGAATGAAGCAGCAGCAGAGAATCTGAGACTGACAGTGACAGACACGCTGGCATGGCACTTGCACATGAACCCTCGTGTACACACACAACACTTGTGTACACACCCTGTGGGTCAGGGCGCTGTTAAGTGCCCACTTGGAACCAGGGGTTGCATGTAACTCCACCAGACCTGATAATCCCTTGCTCTGAATTTCTACTCAACACCCAAGACCACACAGAACCTTGATTACCATGGCTCAGTCCTGTGTAAGGTAATCAAAGTAACCAGAGGCTGCCTTTCATTCTCGAAATGGTCTTTCTCATAACCCTTGGTATTTATAGGCAATTATTGATTATGTCACTGATACAGAGGGCGATAAATAGCGAATCAATCCATAAACAAAAAGGCTGGTGACTTGAACAATCTGTTCCAGTGACATTTATTTCAGAAGGAAATAAGCCCATTATTTCCATTATGTCCTATTTTAATTTTATTGATCTTAATGGTTTTCCAGTTCTGGCCAATGATAGAATTATTGGGTCATGCAGAGCCACTCAGCAGGAGTTGGAAGGAGTTAGGAAGAGGAGCAGGGTTTTGACTCTTGATGTTCCTGGGCTATTTCCTAGAACGAGATAAGAGTTGTGCACTAGATGTTTTCCAAGAATCTTCTTGAACAATTTAATCAGCAACAGCTTAATGAGGAATTTGGGTAAACTGAGGCACAGAGTTGCTCAGTCCTCACACTGGTAAGAGTCAGAGGAAGAAAGGATTTCAGAGACAGATTCAGGCAAGACAGACCTAGGAGTCCCTATTCTTAACTACTTTGCTTCTTTCTAGATTAAGGCTTGGCAATTTCCTGTCAGGGACCAAAAAGGAAATATTTGGGGGCTTAATGGGCTTTGTGTTCTGTCACAACTACTCAGCTCCACCATTGTGGTAATCAGTAGCCATAGACCATTGTAAGTGCATGAATGTGGCTGTGTGCTGATAAAAACTTTATTTATAAAAATGGGAGGGAGAGGCCTCCCTGGTGGCACAAGGGAGCTGTCCTCAGGAGCTGTCCGCAGCCACTGCAGTACGAGTTCGATCCCCAGCCAGCCAGGGAGCAACCCACATGGCGCAGCAGACCTCTCCTGACTTGCCCGCTGCTCCCCTCAGCAGTGTATTTCAGTCAGTCTGCCTGTTCTGCTCCCCACTCTGTCTCTGGTGAATCCTCTCACCCACCACACCTCTGGCCTGTACCCCAGTTCTCGCACACATAAATCTTTAAAAAAATAAAAAATAAAAATGGGAGGGGCACTATATTGGCCCTGGGCTGGAACTTGCACCAACTCTTAGCCCAAGGTGCACACGAGCCCTGGTGCTCCCTTTGTTGAGTTGCAGCCTACCTAGGAGATGGAGGAGGAAGGTTTTCATGGGAAAACACAGAGTTTCTAAGGTTCTGTCCCTCCTCCCCACTCTCCAGCCAGTGCCCTCCTCCCGGGTGTTCCCCCCACATCCTGTGCAGGGCTCAGCTGTGTGTTCTCTGTCACGTGGGCTTTCAGGCAACCTTCCTCCCAGGTCACCTGACTGGATCATCATCTGAAGGTGCCTTGCTTGGGGCCTTAGTAGACTCAGCTGTGGCTATATTTACACCTTCAGGTTCAAATAGTCCTTCTTTGGCAAGAGAATTGCCAGTCTGCATAGCATCATGGGTAAGAGTGGGGCCTTTGGAGCCTCACTCATCTGGGCTTTGCCGTGGACTGTGGACACAGTCTTCTCAACCACAATTTCCCATTCTGTGCATGGCCATCACAACCCCTCATTTAGTGAAGATTAAATGCAAGATACAACAGGCACAGACAGCTGGAGGAAGTACTCTATGACAGTTGTAATTAAGTAGGTCCCCTTGCTCTCTTCCTTGGGGAGGCCCTTGTAACTCTCCATTCTCCCTCCCAGGAGGCAGAGATCCCTCTAGGATGAGAGACATGTGGGGACTGATGAGGAATGAATTCCTCCAGACCCAGACAGAGCAACAGGAGAAAGGTGGAAGTTTTCTGGCCAAACATTTAACCCCTCCCTCCAGCATCCCAGGGAATGGGGTGACCTCAGCTTTCTGGGCATTTTGGGGTACTTTATTCCAAGCGACAAGTTTGTACCACCAGAATTTCTCTGCTCAATACCTGTCTGTGTCACTAGAGTGGATTAACTGGATCCTGGTAGGGCTGCCTGGAGCTTCTGAGTTCATCCCTTGAGCCATGTCAACCTGCTGTTGGTCCCTCTGAATCACCTCAGTAGGACAAGCACGAGGAAAGGCACTTTAGACTCAGTGGATTAGTCTTTCCCTTTCCATCAGAAGCAGCTGGGTCATGAACTCTGATGAACCAAGATGGCTGTCACCCCAATGAAGTCAGTGGGATCTGCAAAGTACAGGAGTCCCTGGGAGAAAAGTAAAAGCATGGAGCTCAGGCCTCTGTGCTTGAGTGGAGGCATGGAGGAGATAGGCGCTAGGCGTCACTAGTGGGGTGATAGAGAGCTCGGGACGCAGGCACAATGCACAAGACTAGGATATTTCTGTAGCCATGATCAGGTCTGTGTGAGACTGCCCAGAGATGTTGTTTAACCTCAGCGTCTTGGTTCTTATCTGCAAAATGAGAGTGCTAACAGTACCTTCCTCGGATAAGTGATATGAATCAGGTGTGTTATTATATAGACAGCACTTAACACTGAGCTTGGCATGAGATAGGTGCTATGTTATATATTTTTGCAATGATTATCATGGCTGCCTAGGCAGTAAGTGCTATAAGGATTTATAAGGGATATGCAGACAGTGACTCTCATTTTACAGATGAGAAAATTGAGGTTCAGTAAAAGAAAGGAACTAGCTGACATGACACAGCTAGAAAATCTCTGAAGACCATGCGCTTTCCTTGTAATTTTTCAAATCATTATTTTCACGGCAAAGTGAGATATGAGGTCAAAGAACATTCCTCCCTTTTTCACTCATTTTTTTTTATATGTTTGTGTGGATCATAGCTCAAAATGTTTTTTGAATGAACAGATGAATGGGTGAATGAATAAATGTCAAGGGGACTCTGTGGTTTAGAAAAAGCCTGCAGTGTGGGTTATCAATTACCTGCGATAATTGATAACCCCCTTCTCATGCCCGTGGTGGACATAACAAATCACTCATGGCCTACCTTTGCACTGTGCCTCAGCACAGCCTCCAAATCTGTATCATGGTTGACTATGAACTGGTCAGACTTGGCTTCTCAGCTGAAATCTACTTGCTTTCCTCAGTTTGATCGCAGAAACAATTTTGATGACATGGTTTCCTTCTTCCCTTCCTTTCCTCCTTCTCTCTCAGGCTCTTCACTCCTATTTTCTACCCTCTCCACCATTCTTTTCCTTTCTCTTAATAATATGGGCCTAGAGTTATAACCTTTTCCATTCTAGTAGAAACATACCTGAAGACTCAGGGCTCCCTCCTCCTGCTTCCGTGGAGAAGATAAGATGGCTCAGTTGGCGCCGTGGGTCTGTGAGCCCGTCAACTACTACCCTCCATCCGCTGTTAAGAGAATCCAGCCTCCTGGTTCTCTGAGGGCTTGGTGCCTCCCAGATGCATCCTCTAGAAGCAGTAAAGAGAAACCAAGTGCTTATGGGAACCGTGGGTGGGCCAGCTCCTCCTCCTGTGCGCTGAGGAGGTGTGACTTACTCTCTCCCTGGCCTATTAAACAATCTCACCAGGAAGGACGGAATTAAATACTCACCTGGGAGGAAATGAGTCCAAAGTCTTTCCAAGTGATTATCTCTTCCTCAAAGAGTTTTCCTGGCCTTGGCTGGGGGGTAGGGTGGAGGCATCAGAGTGGGGAGACTTGAACAACTTAATCAGGAATGAAACACAACATTCACCTGGAAAAAAAAAAATTAAAACACACCACACCTTAAAACAGCCCTCAGCTGACAACCTCCTGGGGCCCCAAGGGATGAGGTGAAACCTGAAGAATGAGTTAATGAAGGTGATAATCACCTGTTCTGAGGTTCTTAGTTAAGGTGGGGAATGCTGGAGGGACATGGATCAACTGTAGGTAGGATGGGGCAGCAGAGAGGAAGTGGCAAATTTTTTTTTTAAAGAGTTATTTATTTTTATACAAGAATTGGGGTACAGGCCAGAGATGGGGGGGCGGGTGAGAGGAATCACCAGAGACAGAGCAGGGAACAGAACAGACAGACCAAAGTACACTGCTGAGGGGAGCAGCGGGCGAGTCAGGAGAGGTCTGTCCCACCATGTGGGTTTCTCCCTGGCCGGCCGGGAATCAAACTTGTGCTGCAGTGGCTGCAGATTGCTTCATAGGTTGCGTCTTAACCCCTGTGCCACCAGGGAGGCCCAGAAAGTGGCAAAATTTGACTCTATCAAGTGCTGCAAAGAACATAGGATTGTATATATCCCTTGGAATGAGTGTTTTTGTATTCTTTGTGTAGATACCTAACAGAGGGATTGCTGGATGATATGGTGGATCCATTTTTAATGTTTTGAGACACCTCCATATTGTTTACCATAGAGGCCGGACCAGTCTACTTAACACTGATAATGTGGGAGTGTTCCTTTTTCTCCACAGCCTCACCAACACTTCTGTCAGGATTTTTTTTTTTAAAGATTTATTCAAGCATACAAAAACTGGGGTATAGGCCAGAGTTGTGAGGGGTGAGTGGATTCACCAGAGACAGAGTGGGGAACAGAACAGGCAGACTGACCGAAGTACACTGCTGAGGGGAGCAGCGGGCGAGTCAGGAGAGGTCTGCTGCACCATGTGGGCCACTCCCCAGCGAATGGAACTCAAGCTGCAGAGGCTGCGGACAGCTCCATAGGTTGTGTCTTAACCCCTTGCGCCAACAGGAGGGTCCTGTGAGGATTTTTTTTTTTTTTTAATAATAAATTTTATTTTTATATTCCCCCATACAATTGGAAACGCCCCATTCTGACCCCAATCCTTCCCCTCCCGCCCCCCACCCCCCAAAAAGTGTCTCTGGTTCATAGTTTTTTGTTGATTTTGATTTTCACTTTCTTATAGTTATTCATTTTCCTGGTCCCTTATTTAAGTTTTCTAGATTCCTGCTATGAGTGAGACCATCCGGTATTTTTCTTTTTCTTTCTGGCTTATTTCGCTGAGCATGATCCCTTCCAGCGCCATCCATGTTGCTGCAAACTGCATGTGTTTATCTTTTTTGAATGCTGAGTAATATTCCATGGTATATATGTACCACATCTTCTTGATCCAGTCATCTATTTTTGGGCATTTGGGTTGTTTCCAAAGCTTAGCTATTGTAAACAGTGCTGCTATAAACATAGGGGTGCAGGTGCTCTTTGGAATTGATATTTCTGTGTCCTTTGGGTAAATACCTAGGAGTGGAATTGCTGGATCATATGGAAGCTCTATGTTTAGTAGGTCCAGAAATCTCCACACAGCTCTCCATAGTGGTTGGACCAGTTTGCACTCCCCCTGTGAGGATTTTTTGATATAGGCCATTCTCATAAGTGTGAGATGATATCTCATTGTGGTTTTGATTTGTATTTCCCTGATGGTAAATAGTGATAAACACTTTTTCATGTGCCTGTTGGCCATTTGTATGTTTTCCTCAATAAGTGTCTATTTAGCTCTTCTGTCCATTTTTTTGAATGGATTATTTGTTTTCTTATTGTATTATAGGAGTTCTTTGTAAATTTTGTATATTAATCTCTTGTCGAATATATGATTTGCAAATATTTTCTCCCATTAAGTAGGTATCTTTTGGTTTTAATGATAGTTTCTTTCACTGTGCAAAGCATTTTTTTTTTTTGATCAAATTGCATTTTTTTTTTTAAATAATAAATTTTATTTTTATATTCCCCCATACAATTGCAAACGCCCCATTCTGACCCCAATCCTTCCCCTCCCGCCCCCTACCCCACAAAAAGTGTCTCTGGTTCATAGTTTTTTGTTGATTTTGATTTTCACTTTCTTATATTCATTTTCCTGGTCCCTTATTTAAGTTTTCTAGATTCCTGCTATGAGTGAGACCATCCGGTATTTTTCTTTTTCTTTTTGGCTTATTTCGCTGAGCATGATCCCTTCCAGCGCCATCCATGTTGCTGCAAATTGCATGTGTTTATCTTTCTTGAATGCTGAGTAATATTCCATGGTGTATATGTACCACATCTTCTTGATCCAGTCATCTATTTTTGGGCATTTGGGTTGTTTCCAAAGCTTAGCTATTGTAAACAGTGCTGCTATAAACATAGGGGTGCAGGTGCTCTTTGGAACTGATGTTTCTGTGTCCTTTGGGTAAATACCTAGGAGTGGAATTGCTGGATCATATGGAAGCTCTATGTTTAGTAGGTCCAGAAATCTCCACACAGCTCTCCATAGTGGTTGGACCAGTTTGCACTCCCACCAACAGTGCAGAAGAGTTCCTTTTTCTCCACACCCTCGCCAACATTTGTTGTTGCTAGTTTTTTTAATATGTGCCATTCTCACTGGTGTGAGATGGTATCTCATGGTAGTTTTGATTCACTGTGCAAAGCATTTTAATTTGGTGTAGTCCCATTTGTTTGCTTTTAGTTGCCATTTTAGTCAAGTCCCCAAAGACATCCGTGAAGTCACTGTACCAGAGGGCTTTGTTTTGATTTGTAGATTGAAGTGAATTCCTCTACCTCCTCATTCTGTTTGATTCTCTGAGATGATTTCTATGGATTAAAACACACTGCTTTTCTTCCCAGTTCTGCTGTGAAGGTCTTGTGTTAGAATCGGATCACCTAGGGCATTGGTGTTGAATGCTGTGCTTTCTGTTGTATTGGTTGACATGTTATTGTTAAGGGGAAAGGATGTCCTGAGCTAATCCCATGCAGGCTTTGTGGACCCTACCCCCACTCCAGACCAAAGCCATAAGGACACTGGGAAAGACAAATCCCATCACCACCAAAGGGAAGGTGGCAGGGACCTGAGTGTGGAGTTAAGCAGCCAGGTTTGGGATAAAAACCAGACACGTGGGCCTTGGGGTCTCTCTCGCTTGCCTCCTGGCTTCACGGCTGGTGGCTCGCGGCCAGCTCTCAGAGAGCCATTGGGGATTCCAGATTGGCGGATCGGGTAGGATGCATTTAAGACTTTATCTCCCACTTTTCTCCCTGAGTTGTACATTTCCTCATTTGCCTTTCCCTTGTAAATAAACCTTTTATTAACCTTTTGTGTGTGCCTGCAGTGGAGTATTAATAAGTCCTTTTACGCGCTCGGGTGAGGACCCACAGTCAGGCAACCTGTTTTGTATCGGGGCTGCCCTGTAATGTTATCACTAATCAGGATAACTGTAGCTTAAGAGTCAGTTCAGGGTGGGGGTCCTAGAACCCAGCCCATAGGCTGTGGGCTAGAGATGTGGGGGTGGGGATAAGGTTGCTGCACTAGATTGCCAAAGGCTTACATTTCCTTTAGTGCTGTAGCTACTTGAACTGAGGGAGAAATCTGCATTCACCATCTGGTAAAGGTATGGCAAGACAACACAGACCACTAGTGGCACTCTCCCAGAGCCCCAAACTGCAAATGACCCTTCACCTGTAGCCTAATTCTGATGTTGGCATGTTTCGTAAGCAGTGCCTTTCCCTTGAGGCTCAGGTATGAATCTTATTCTCTTGTTGGTGATCAACAGGGGTTCAATAAATGTTTGCTGAATGAATGGATGAGTGAATGAATGAATGAGTGTTAGTTCATTTCTGCATTGGTCCATCCTGCAGCACTGGACCAGGGACAGATACTGTAGCCCCCACTCTACACTGAGAAGTCGTGTGACCCTGGGTTTCCCCCCAGCTCCATTTTCCACCCGTTTTTCCCCATCTTGGTCTTAGGCATCATCCTGACAGCCCCAGAAAGAACAGAAGACTCAGGGAAGTCTCTCCAAGGACTTTATATCTTGGAGAAGTTAATTACCATCATGAAATCTTTCCTTCATTTTCCTTCCACTGGCAAAGTGCTCACTGAAGCATCGGCCTGAGCAGGCCTCCAAGGGGGCATTCTCCCCAGTATTCACTCAGCGAGGAACCAACTGGGCGTCAGTATTGATGCTGCTTCCCATGTACCCCACTGCCCTGCCCTCCACTCAGGTAGAGCATACAGGCCTGGGCTCAGACAGGTGTCTCCTCACTGCTGGGTCCTGTTGTCAAGTAAACTTCCCCTTTTAAGGTGCAATTTCCTCTTCTATGAAGTGGGATAATCCCTGTTAGTGAGGACGGTTGTGTAAATAAAGTAGGAGAGTATGTGGAGGGTCTAGCCATAGTAGACTCAATGAACTCTGGCTGTGATGATAATCACTTCTTATTGGTGTAATATTATCTTTGAAATCAACTTTGCTGTAAAAGGAACCAGGAATCCTTCTGTCTGAGATGACTGCTTTGAAAGAGCTTGCCAGTCAGTGTTAAGTGCGGTTTGGCAGGAGGTCTGGAAAGCATAATTGTTGGTGTTTGACAGTTGATTCATTTTCTTTGGTGGTGTTGGTGCCAAAGGCTGACTTTACAGCACGAGGAGGTGGGACTGGTCACCATGCCGTTTGTTGCTGACACCAGCTGCATGTACTCAGAGGAGTAATTGCAGCTCAATAAACTTACTTTTCTTAATTAATTGTATAAAAACAAGACAGTTCCATCATGGAAATTTTGGAAAGCATCAAACAGTGTAAAGG